ATTTCAGCAAGCTGCTGGAACATTTTTGTGGTACATAATTAATACTGTTTTGTTGGTGAAGAACCTGGTGTTGAAGTATATTTCTTAGCCTGCTTCCTACCTTCTAGTGCTAGAATCCTTAGTACATTTTTAAGTTAAAGAATGTTGTTGCCCCTTGGATTCTGAATAGCAGGTTAAAGAAGTCTTGTTTGGAGATAAGCAATGGGCATTTGTTCTCTCTTTTCATCATTTACTTCTCTGTTGAACATCCACGTCATAAAGCACAGGACAGGTGACATAATTAACTATTTCAATTTTTAGAAATTAATAACTTCAATAGTATTGGAGTCAAATTGTCCATTATAATGCTAGAGATCATGTGGTAAATTATAAATTAAAGGTGGTCCTGGAATGTGCAGACATCACCTTTGGCTGTGATTGCAGACACAGTGAGGTCTCTGTGACGTATATGCAATTAAACCTGTACATTGTCTCTTAATAAAATTAAAAGTCCTAAAGCAAATTTCAGCATAATATAAGTATTGCTCCACGTTTTTTAGACTACGTCTTTTACCATACACTGCATTCTTAATCACTGTCAACTCACTGTACTTTCCTTTTCAGTAAAGAACAGTGATGTTATGCAATGTTACTGTGTAGATCTTGCCCTGTTTTTTCTAGTCCTATTTTGGGAAAATACATCTGAGCAAAACTACATCTTTGGTGATGCTAAGTCTTCCCCCAACAGTTAACATTTCGTCTATATTTATGTGACATGACTTTACACTTTGTGGTTTTGGCAGATGGAGGAATGATTTTCTTCACATTTTTCATATGGCAAAGAATCTACAGGAGCTAGTTTAGCAATAGCAGGCAGAGGCGGCTTTGATTTGTTTACCTAACATACGTGTCACATACAAAAGGCAATGTCCTTCCACTGTAGTTGTTAATAACTAGCTGTTCCAAATGGATTTGTGCCAACACAAAATCCACCACCGCAATTAGTGGCAATAGGAACTTCAGCTGGCAGCCGCAGTGAAGGCGGTAAAGATTAAATGGCTGTGTGAACTGTCCCTCCAAATTAAAACTGATGTACGCTGGCAAAACCTAAGGCGACTCACACCACTGGTACCCCTGACACTCCGTGCTACTCTGGTAATAATTAAAGAAAATACTGCTGTCTGGCACTCACTGTGTTTCACATGACACAGATTCACCCCGTTAATGACAAGAATCTGAGCATCCGTACCATTAAAACATCTCAGATGACAAAAACCCATAGATGACTTTCGAATGCCTGAGGATACAAATAACCTTTTGAAAAAGGTTTATTTTTAGAGGTATTTGTTAGTTAGGTGCCTGTTACTGACTTCTAGCTGGTGTTGCACGTGTACTTCCAGAAAGTCTGCTCGGAAATTCCACTAAATGACATCCAAGAAATTAATTTTTTTCCAGGTAGCAGACCTTCCAGGAGCTACAGAACCTCTGCAAAATAGTATTCGTGGTAATGTCTCTGTAGCATAGAATATGATCATGATCTAGAGCAAGTTATCATCTGAGCTGCAATAACAACAAACCCTCCCCCTTTTCATGAACGACGGCTGAATTACGCTAATCCCAGTAGAAAAAATGAATGAAAAAATGAGTGTAATGATAATTTGAATAAGTATTTTATTGTACAATATTAACTGATGGAATACATTACAGATTAGCCCAAATTTCTTTAGAGGGAGTCACGGTTTATTGTCTCACAGTGTCCTATATGACATACTTGGAAAATACAAATTATTTTCCACAGTTTAAATGAACCTCTAGCAACGGGCTCAGAAATATTTTAGGCTTAAGCATTGTCCAAACCTAACCTTTGAATCCATGAGCACAGTGAAACATCTGATCTGTAGGTCAGTGTGCAAAAAGCACAGCTGTTAGCCATGACCTTGAAAAGGCTTTGCAGCTGCAGTGACGTTGCAGCATTGCGAGTGACACATCTTTGTCACACTTTGCACTTTGTGAAAGGCCGTGTCTCAGACTCCGGGTTTGCATCCCATTCCTTGGATTTACTGTGCACAGAATTAAATCTCACAAGTCAATCAAACATGTGAGTCCTCTCCTGGTCATTCTGACAGCATAGAGCAACCAAAAGACAGCAGCTTTGCAAACGCACGGGGAACACCGTGTACTTTTGTCAGTCACTTCAGTGTGTGCATCAATCTGGATGCTCCTGCTGTAGAGTTTTCAGGATGAGAGCAACAACTTTGGTGTTGAGCTTCCAAGTACATAGACACCTGGTGCCATACTATGGCAGTGGTTAGATGTTCCAGTGGTCATAGTTTGCCAGGAAGCAAGGCTAGTCAAAAAAGGCCAAATCCAATTAAAATGTATCATCAAGTACATGGGAGTTTTGGTAGCAGGACAGAATTACTCACTTTAGAACTCACTCAGGGCACAGAGTAAACACCTCTCTTCATAAAAAATGTGTGCTGTTACCAGCAAAATGTGCTCAACTGTGCACCTAACTGGTTAGGCCCACCAGCCACGCATCAGGAGACACAAATTCTACCGAGCGTTGCCTGTGCAAATCAGCAGTGATTTCCCCCAGTACGAACCGTTCCCTGATGAGCGCCCAAGTATGGGGCTTGCCCAGCGGAAAGCTGTTTGTGCGAGCTCGTGGAAGCTCACTGTAAGGTGTAGCAGCCACTGCAATGTGCCTGCTGTATGGGAAAGGCCAGCCCCTATAAAATCACAGCCAAACAGAGCTGCCTGGGGCTAGCCAAAAGAACTGGACTCAGGCAGAGAGGGTAGAAAGAGACAGAAGAGCCTATGCTTTACTGTTTTTGAGAAGCGAGTTTATGGATGAATTCAAAGAGAAAGTATCCTATGCAGAGGAATTTATAAAGCAAATGCAGCAAGTCCAAGTTTTTCCCTGTGACATGATTGCTTTTCAACTTCATGAACAGCAAATCAGGGGAAATAACAGCAACACATTAATTACAACACAGTAAAATGAACATGAAAACTTTCAACAGCACTGAATGCCACCACACACCACAACTGAAGCCTACAATTCTTTCAAACAGCCTTGCCAGCCTGCTTTGAACTACTTGAAACCACTGGAACCACTTGTGAGTGGGTCAGAAAATGATACTGCTCCCAGAAAAGGGGGGAAAGAAAAAAATTAACACACATACCCCCCCCC